CTTGCTGAAATCGTAAAATCGTAAGATTTTAAGATTTAAATCTAGATTTTGACAACAATGGTTACTACAATTATAACACCTTGCTACAATTCCAACCATACCCCTGCTCTTTCGCACAATTCCCTATGTTGCGAAGATATCTCACCACCCGAAGAACTCAGATTCAGCACCTTGGGTTTGAAACTTTGAATGTTCAACACGGCTGACTTATCCCACTTAATTTAAAAAAGAATCATGTGTTTGACGAATATTGAAAATGATTTATTTTTAAAAGGTTTAAAGCCAACTGTCGTCCCTCTACTTTAATATTTTATTCGTTCTTGTCCCTCTACTAAGGTCATGTTCGTTGTCGTCCCTCTACTCTCCAAAGAGCCAAAACGTCGTCCCTCTACTTGGCTTTTTTTGTTCGTTGTCGTCCCTCCCCTAACACCGTCCATGTTGCCGTCACTACTGACCGTTAAGTCCCAAACGGTCAGCAGTTAAACCCATCTTTTTTTTTTTTTATATATATATAAAGTTATAGACTTTTAAATTTTTCATATTGAATAATACATCATACATTGGATGGAGATGGCTGATGTAGCCATTAAGTGTCGTTACGATGCCCAACGAATGTTTGATGTGTTAAAAGGTTGTATGTTGAGGTGGACAACAAAAACTAAAATAAAAAGATAACACTAAATTTCTTTTTTTTTTCTTTTTTTTTAAATCTCCATCTGCTCTCTCCACTTGTGTTTTCATTTCTTTTAAATGCCTCTCTCCTCTTTTGTGATGCTCCTCCATCCATATTTTATCTCAACTAATAATAACTTGTCAAATAATAACACTTAACAACTACATCAATCATTTTTGTCTAATGCAACCCTTAATATAAAAACAAAAAGTTCATATATCCTTTATTATTAGTAAAAAATTAAAAGTTGTATCTTGATTGGTGGGTTTTTGGGCTTTTCCAAATTTGGACAATGACAATCTTAATTTAACCATTGATAGTTTGGGACCTACTGCTTTGAGTCTTTGACTTCCTCTTCTTGTCACCATGTCACAGCAATTTGCATTTTGAAAGCATTAAAAGATTAAAAATAAATTAATAAATAATTCACATATACATATCTATTCATCAAATTTAATCCGGAATCAGAGCCCATGATAAATATATATATATATATATATAATTCCATTGAGAGCTCTTTCTCCAAAACATTATTTTTATTCTTACATCAGAAAAAAAGAGAGTATTTTTTTAATTAACTTACACTTTAAATACAAGTTAAGAATGTATTTTTATTATAAATAATACACATATACATATCTATTCATCAAATCTAATCCGGAATCAGG